GATTTTTCTTTTATGCCAAAAATCATTAGGATATTAAATAAAGATCATGTTCCATGAAGATATTTTGTAAATTTCCTACCGTAAATATATCAAAACTTAATTTTTTATTAGCAATATGCAATGCTAAGAACTTCATTTGGACAATGTTAAAGGCGATTTTCTTGTAAGTTGTATCTTGGCCAAATATTGTCCTATCCTAACAAACCATACATCAATGGAAAGCTTATTTATTCAGCTTTCAGATGTAGAAATCTCAATTTCAAAAAATTTACCCTTATGACTGGTTTTGTGGTCCAGGGTCACAAATTAGAATTTCAATATTTATAAAAACTAAATATGGTGGGCTATTTTTTGGTTCTCGGCTATATAAAAATCATTATTGGCTGATTGCCACTGATTGGTTTGTGCTCTAGGTCCAGCATTATGGCTCGTCCCACCAGGAGTGGAACGGCAACTACAGCCACCGCCGGCCTCAAGCGTTCATCCCACCTACTGTTCATGGCCACACCTTCACGCTGCCTCACGGAAGTCCCACCCACACAGCCCACCCTCCTCAATCGCACTTGGGCATCCACCCTCACACCCAGCCGACTTTACTGTCCTACCCCCCTTCAGGCCCCCTGGTGACAAATGCCCCAATGGCCCACCTCTTGGCTTCACCTGGGACCACAAGGAATCACGTCTTTCAGCCGGCTTATGGCCTCACTCATCCGGCGGGACACCTTGTGCACCAGGTCACTGTGGGGCTCAACCGCCTCTTGCCCTCTCCAACCCTCCACCCTCAAGGCCAATTCAAGCCTCTGTTCCCCCCACACTCCTTCATCGCATCGCCTGCATACGCAGGCTTCCCCCTCAGTCCCACCAAACTACACCAGTACCCGTATGTCTGAGACTCGCTCCGCAACCCTCTGGAGGGCCACCAACACGGACACGTAACGCCAGGCTCACTGTAGAAACCACAAACCACCTGGTTCCCGCACCCAAAGCCATGGCACAAGAGAGAAAGGAAGCAGTTTCTCTGAATCACGTAGACTTGATCGAGTGCAATTAAAAAGAGCTTTAAAAGAGGAAACATTTGGAAAGTCTTTAGCAAGTAGGTAAAGAAAGCGCACTGTTGAGAAGCAAGCGATTGGATGAATAAGAAAAACCTTTTTTGCACATTTGATACACATCACCTTATCGGATTTTCAGATCTTCAGATTTGAGTGCACCTCTAATGAATATCAGCAACAGATGGTGTCCAAAATCATGTGATGGTCAACTTATTTTTATACATTGCCTTTACCTTGTATACAACACACATTTGTTTGTAAAGGCAGCCCTATATGTTGTTCACAACATAAAATATGTCCACTTGCCGTGTTTTCTTGCGTTCCAAGTATTTGTACTTTTCTCTGCGTCTTTGGTGTCGTTTGGAATGGAGAGTCGTTCGTCACATGCTGCATGTGTTGCATGATGTTGATCAGAGAGAAGCCTATAGGGGCTCTTGACGTGTCTAGAGGCTCGCTGCATTGTTGTCCCCAGCCATAGTGCCTTATATATCGGCAGTCGTTTGTGTTCTACTACACTATCTCTCTGTGTGTATATACAATGTGTTTGTGTGCATACGTGTCCTGGACTGCAGCACTTGCAATTCAAATCAGTCCGTGCATTTTTTGTGTGAGCATGTGTATATGTATTACACACTGGTGTACTATTTCATGCATAGATAGGCATCAGTGTACTGCATTGCACAAACCACAGTGCTTATTTTTGGATCCATTTGAGATGTAGTGAGTTACATTTTGCGTTACTTCATCGGAAGACGGCATGCTTTTGCTGTTGCAAATGCTTGCTGTTGTATTTGTTCTTAGTTGTTCATTTTTTTGTTATCTTAAATTCACTAGATGTATAGAGAATACAATGAATTTCTATTCAGAAAAATCTACAAAACTAACAGTATTTGTACTGTTTAGTTAAACTGCAATACAATCTATATAGTTTGTTTTTCTTTTTTGGCTGTGTTTTTAGTTCTTTGGGTTTGCGTGTGTTTGTGTTTGCTGTGGTGGGCATGGCTTCGACTAGATGAAGACACAAATGCAAATATCGGTCTTTGATTCAGGGTCATGGATTCATCTTAGCCTGAGCAGACCATGCAGTATTTGATGTATAGACACATATGAGTATATATCTAATAGAGCTAGTTTATTTAGTGCTGAAGCTTGACACGGTGTGTTTAAGGTGTGCAATTCTCATTTATGCATGTGTGAATCGATTTTGTTCTTAATTATATCATCATATGTTGAAAGCTTGTTGGTGTCAACTGCATTTTATACATTCCGTCAGGGAGAATTAAATATATTGTGTGTGCATTTATATATATATATATATATATATATATATATATACAGGGTACGGAAAGTATTC